GTTCTTGTTCACTTTTTTGGGGATTGGTTGGACTCTAGCTGTCTTCCAGCATGATGGAAAAATACCCGACCTGTACGAGATGGTAAACAACTTGCGGAGAATCGGTGTTAATTCTGGTGCACATTTTTTGAGGATGATGGGTGGAATTCTATCAGGACCGTTAGCCTTATTCGTTTTGAGACCAAGAAAAATTCGTCTGATAGTGCGTTGACGGAAGACGATTTCGGGCATTCGACTCTCAACGGGTGGAATGTCTGGCGGCAGTTTTCCTTGGGAATCTAAAGTAGAGTTTGCTGCGAACATCTCTGCAAAAATATTTGCTTTCTCCTGCGATGTTGTTGCTAATGTGCCGTCGGATTTGGATAGTGGGAGAAATGAACTATTAGTGAAATTTCTTCCGACCGCTTTAGCAAGGGACCAAAACGAACGGGAGCCATTGGGGCAATCTATGAGTTTCGATCTTATTTTGGCATTGTATGTATCTTTCGAAGCATCTATTGTTTGGCTGCAGTTATTCCTGGCATCAACGTATTCTGCTCTAGTCGCGAGGTTAGGGTTTTTGCGCCAGCGATGGTAGGCTGTTTGTTTCAAGGCAACAGTTCCAGAACAGTTTTTGTTGAACCAGGGTTTCGAAGGTGATGATCTTTTCGAAAAATGAGGTATGTATGTGTCCATTCCGAGCATGATGATCTCGGATATTTCCGCAGCACACTGTGAAGGGTCCTCAGAGTCAAAGCATACTCTATGCCAAGGAAACTCGGAGAAAAACATGCGGAGACCGTCCCAATCTCCTGAATTGTAATGCCATATAAGACGTGGGGGTGCCGGAGCAGTTGATGGAATGAAAAATGGGCAGGTTGTGGAGATGAGTGTGTGGTCATAATTGCCAAGTGGAGCTCGTACATCTATGGTGTAGGGTGCTGAATTATTAGTAAGGAATAAGTCAAGTAATTTAGCTGAATGGTTATTGGCATCGGGAATTCGTGTGGGTTCTTTGATGAGCTGCTCTAAGCCGTGAGTGATGGCGAAAGCTTCGGCTTGTCGCCCAGCTTCATCCGTTCTGTTAAAGTGTACGAGCCAAGCAGTGTTGTGTACATTGAAATCGCCCATGATGATGATTTCTGCTGCTGGATGGTTCTGTTGAATTTGGTCAAGCTTCAGAGACAAGAATTAGAAGAGCTCTTCATAGGATGGATCATTTGGTGATAAGTAGAGACAACAAAGGTATTTGGTGTGTTTCTGGCTATCGAGTTTGAACCACATGACATCAAACTTATTTGGTTCCAAAGTTTTTTCTCGTTGACATGAGAGATTCGTTTCAGAGTAGAGGCAGAGACCTTCCTTGAATCTGAAACGTGTGTGGAGTTCGTACCCAGGACAGAGCAGATAGGTCGTATTGGTGGATGAATTGACCTGTGTCTCACTATTGAAATGATATGCGTTGGGGTAGTTGTGACTCAGAGGGTTGGTGTGGAATGAATATTTTTTGGTAGTTCACCTAGTCCGAGATATGAATAATATCCCTGGAATGCATTTCCTTCGAGCTATTCAATGAGGTATCACAAGTAGAGGCTACTATTGAAATGATATGCGTTGGGGTAGTTGTGACTCAGAGGGTTGGTATGGAATGAATATTTTCTGGTAGTTCACCTAGTACGAGATATGAATATCAACCCTGGAATGAATTTTCTTCGAACTATTCAATGAGGTATCACAAGTAGAGGCTACTATTGAAATGATATGCGTTGGGCTAGTTGTGACTCAGAGGGTTGGTATGGAATGAATATTTCTTGGTAGTTCACCTAGTCCGAGATATGAATAATATCCCTGGAATGCATTTTCTTCGAGCTATTCAATGAGGTATCACAAGTAGAGGCTACTATTGAAATGATATGCGTTGGGGTAGTTGTGACTCAGAGGGTTGGTATGGAATGAATATTTTCTGGTAGTTCACCTAGTACGAGATATGAATATCAACCCTGGAATGAATTTTCTTCGAACTATTCAATGAGGTATCACAAGTAGAGGCTACTATTGAAATGATATGCGTTGGGCTAGTTGTGACTCAGAGGGTTGGTATGGAATGAATATTTTTTGGTAGTTCACCTAGTCCGAGATATGAATTATATCCCTGGAATGCATTTTCTTCGAGCTATTCAATGAGGTATCACAAGTAGAGGCTACTATTGAAATGATATGCGTTGGGGTAGTTGTGACTCAGAGGGTTGGTATGGAATGAATATTTTCTGGTAGTTCACCTAGTACGAGATATGAATATCAACCCTGGAATGAATTTTCTTCGAACTATTCAATGAGGTATCACAAGTAGAGGCTACTATTGAAATGATATGCGTTGGGCTAGTTGTGACTCAGAGGGTTGGTATGGAATGAATATTTCTTGGTAGTTCACCTAGTACGAGATATGAATATCAACCCTGGAATGAATTTTCTTCGAACTATTCAATGAGGTATCACAAGTAGAGGCTACTATTGAAATGATATGCGTTGGGCTAGTTGTGACTCAGAGGGTTGGTATGGAATGAATATTTTTTGGTAGTTCACCTAGTCCGAGATATGAATTATATCCCTGGAATGCATTTTCTTCGAGCTATTCAATGAGGTATCACAAGTAGAGGCTACTATTGAAATGATATGCGTTGGGGTAGTTGTGACTCAGAGGGTTGGTATGGAATGAATATTTTCTGGTAGTTCACCTAGTACGAGATATGAATATCAACCCTGGAATGAATTTTCTTCGAACTATTCAATGAGGTATCACAAGTAGAGGCTACTATTGAAATGATATGCGTTGGGCTAGTTGTGACTCAGAGGGTTGGTATGGAATGAATATTTCTTGGTAGTTCACCTAGTCCGAGATATGAATAATACCCCTGGAATGCATTTTCGCCGAGCTATTCAATGAGGTATCACAAGTAGAGGCTACTATTGAAATGATATGCGTTGGGCTAGTTGTGACTCAGAGGGTTGGTATGGAATGAATATTTCTTGGTAGTTCACCTAGTCCGAGATATGAATAATACCCCTGGAATGCATTTTCGCCGAGCTATTCAATGAGGTATCACAAGTAGAGGCTTCTATTGAAATGATATGCGTTGGGGTAGTTGTGACTCAGAGGGTTGGTGGGGGTATTTCATGAGACATTTTATTCTTCACTTCATATATTATATATACAGTTATGAACCATTCGTGGTATGTATCTCATTTTGTACATGAGTCGAAGCTTTCAAATTGTCATCACCCTATATATATGTTGAACCGGACATTGTATCAGATGAAATCATATGAATCCTCATGTTGATGATCAAGATACAGAGTGTGTCAACTAATTGGCCGATTCTAGCCGTTAGTTTTCAAGTTTTCTGTGATTGAGTGAACCGAAATTCTGATATTTTCAATATTTGTCTGTTTCCATGAATATTACCTTGTCATGATGAAATGCAATACCCTGTATGTGATATTATTATCTATTCGAATAGAGGGATTCATGAGGTAGAAATTAGACGTGGAGCGTTTATTTCTACTGAAGATTTATCACGACTCAGAGCACATAATTCAAATCGATGCAAAATATTCTAAACAGCCAAAATCAAATGATTGACACCCTGTAGCTCGAAAACTGGTCATAGGATCGATCTGTTAATTCGACTGTGTAATACACGTTCAGTGGATGTATGATTACACACATATGTATTATACGTTCAGTTTCGTGCGTCCATATTATGGTAGTTATAGAATGAAACGTCCAAGAAATATACGGTAGTGATCTAGATTGTACGTTTACAAATTGGACATTTAAGTACGTTCAATGAATGTACGATTCTGAATATATATATAAATATCAAGAAAAGACATATCCATAAATCATAGCTAACTGAATCTATTCTTACTGGAAATTGACAACATTTGGCAGAGTGGAAAGATATTAAAATCATAGGAAAGGAATATAACAAATTTACCTTTAAGCGGACGCATTGATGAAATGCATTTGGTTACACGCAGCGGTCTCTCGGTCACCCTTTAGATTTTTTTTGTAGAGACACATCAAAAGCCTTGTTTACAAAACACCACCAGACACATTAGGATAGTTGCGATAAAGAATCATTAACGTATGTCGCGAAGTGCCACCCCAAATGCTCCAGAATGTACGACAACGGTTTGAAAATAACTCATACCACTGTATGCAGGTTGACGGACAGCAATTCGAACATTTACTTGACTAATAAATGATTTCTGAAGTAAATTTGAACCGATTTTGGTATTTTAGGTCCCAAATGATGGATGGAGTTTCAACGCTCCATATTTTCTGAATTAGTAGATCGATTTGAAAAATCTGAGCAGCACTGTATAGGGAATGACAAGCCCCTTCTAAAGAGGTATCGCTTGACCACCCTTCCCATTTGAAAAAAATGTTGGGGTGACACCCCAACTTAGGGGGTTGAAGGTTTAACTATGCTTATTACGTTAAAATGTGTCCCCCTGACAAACAAACTTGACCTGTTCTCGGATTTCATCGAAAAGTTCTTTCCCAGCCTGTAATGCCTTGCGGTACGTTTTCGATGGGCCATCCTGTATAGTGGTTAGGCTATCAGATGGCGGTATCAAGTCAATTTCTACTACATTGTGACAATTCCCCTTTTTCCCCTGTAGCCTGTGATCTTCACTTGGAATCGTTGAATTTGTAATCATAATCATGCACTTATGAATCATTGAATGTTATATGAGGTGTTCTGTTTGGAAATCAAGAATTGATATACCAGTTTCGCTTCAACTTTGGGATATGAAAATTACAGAAATATTTTTGTAAGAGGGGTGTAAAGTTTTTGCTGGAACATACTGTACGTATGTTCAAACCCAATGGATTTGATTGATGTCTTGTGTTTCATTCCAGTGGCCCAATTCCCATTCTCGATCATAGTTCTTGAGTCAGAGGTAGAATGCTGCCATAGGCAGTTTCACAAATTACTTTGTTTCTATTTCAGGAATATCACTGGCCCAGAAGTGACAACAAGAAGGAAAGGGCAGCTGTATGAGGTATCGGCGATAGTGACCTTGAGGGCTCTTGAAGACCCTGAGGAATTCTGTTGCAAACTGCATATCTCGGAGGCAAACTACACGACGAGAAAAGAAGCTATTTTCTACCCATCAGGTGAGAATATTTGCACAAGTCGAATTTTCGAAAAATGTATCAACAGTAATACAGTAATAGTGAAAAAAATATTACCAAGAATGTAATTCGTCGTGATTGTTATTTTAACTATTTCGCAAACTGCCCAGCGAAAAATAAAATTTTTACAGCCACACACTTCGGTTTTGTTTTGAGTCATTATTGTTCGAAAAAACTTGTTCGTCAAACAAGAAGAGCACACCACCGACGCAGTCTATGGGCCCCTCTATGTATTTATCCAAACGAAGAAGGTTATTCAATCATCTACCTGATTCGCTGAAAACTTCACCCAGCCTCTATATTTTTAGAAAAAATGTTAAAAAATTTTTAGGTGCTAGATGTTTCTATTCTTTGGAGGAATTTTTCTCTGACTCATAACGGTCCATTGTAAATAAATAATAAGAATTGTGTTAAATATGGTTGATTATTGTGTCCTTGTTCGTATTCTTACATGTATTTTGAATGTATTATTATTATTGTATTGTTATTTCACTCTTTGTTATTTTAGCATAGCATATATTATGTTGACAAGCATTTATTTTAAATGATGTCTATATTTTGTTTTAGATCATTTTCAAATAAGTGTAATCATAGATGAGTATTGACAATTTTCAATACTTGGAAATCCAAGTCTGAAGGAAATAAAGTATTCTATTCTAAGATCCTAACGTGAAAAAATAATCGTTGTAATTTGCTACTAACAAATTATCAGTATGATTTTTTTTATGTTCTGGTTCCCACATCGTGAGAGAAATGAGGTAGGAGTTGGTGTTCTTCTTAAATTTCTGGAGGTTATAGGCCTCGGGGGCAATGTGTTCCAGAGCCTAGCTGTTCGTTCGATGAACGAGTCTTTGGAAAGAGATGTTCTGCAGGTCTCCAAAGTGACCACGGGTTGATCTCGCGGAGACTGCCAAGTGCGGAACAATTGTTGATATTTCAGGAGAGCATCGTTCATGGAAATATTTATAAGAAAGAGCCAGATCGACAACTTTTTCACGGTGTTCCAGAGTAGTGACTGAGTTTGTGACGAGGCATCACCCACGAGACGAATTGTCCTTTTTTGTACAGAATCCAACAGTTTCAGGGTATGTTTGGGTGCTGCACTCTGAATATGGGAACAGTATTCCAGGACAGGTCGGATCTGTGCCTTATAGATCATAAGCAGCTGACTGAAAGTGAAATAGCTCCTGGCCCGAAACAAAAAACCAAGTTCTTGGAATGTACTTTCAGCACAATTGATCTCACGTGATTTTCACAAGAAAAGTTATTGCTGATAGCAATATCAAGCATAGCAATGGATGTCTTCAAAGGTATGGTTACTCCTGACAAGCTTATGTTGGGCACAGTGAGATCGGCTTTTCTAGAAAAAGGGCATGCTTGTGTTTTGTTTCCATTGAAATTCACCAAGTTATTGGATCCCCCTTCGAAAATTGTTGCCAAGTCCATATTTATGTTGTCAACATTTCTCCCTCGTTCGTTTCTGATTTGCCTGGCTGGTATTGGAGCCCTGGAAGAGTAAGTGGTATGGGGGGTCATATCATCCGCGAAGCTGTGTACTGGACATGAAGTTGCTTTCAAAAAATCGTTGATATGGAGTAGAAATAGTGTTGGTGCTAGAATTGATCCTTGCGGAACACCAGCATTCATTATGAGAGAGTCAGATGAAACTCTGTCGACCACTACATGGAGGGACCTCTTTGAGAGAAAACTAGCTAGCAGAGAACATAGCTGGGGATGCAAGCCATAAGATGAAAGCTTTGCGAGGAGTCCGTTGTGCCAGACTCGATCGAATGCCTTGGAGATATCAAGTGCCACTGCTAAGATGTCACCATATTTCCCAATAGATTATTCCCATATATGTGAGACGTAAGCGAACAGGTCACCAGTTGATCTCTGATGACGGAAGCCATATTGCTTATCTTTGATAATACCTGAATGTACCAGGTATTTCATGAGCTCGATGTTGAAAGCTTTCTCCATGATTTTTGAAATAATAACTGGCAGTGCGATCGGTCTGAATTTGCTAGGTAGGGTCTCTTTGCCTTTTTTAGGAACTGGTTGTACTCTTGCAATTCTCCAGTTGGACGGAAATGTCCCCAATTTGTGAGAGTAGTTGAACAACTTGCAGAGAGAAGGTGTTACTTCGAGATCACATTTCTTGAGAACAATCGGTGGGATTCCGTCGGAGCCACACAAGCTTTGTTGGTGTTGAGACCCAATAAAATCTCCCTAATAGTACGTTGGCGAAAGGTGATCTCGGGCATATGACTATCAATTGGCGTTATGTTTGGAGGTTGTTTTCCCGATGAATCCAGAGTGGAATTTTCAGCAAATTGATGCGCAAAAATGTTGGCTTCCTCCTGGGCAGTTGTGGCTAGTGTTCCATCTTCCTTGGTTGAAGTTGGGGAGACAGCGAACAGTTTCAATTGATGATTATACTAATGACTTGTATTGATAATAATGATGCCTTATCGACTCGGGTACTATTTATATTCGGAGTCGATGATGAGTTCGCAATTTTCCGCAATGGGAATGGCCGTTACTTCTCGATATTGCTTACCTAGGTATTATCGCACGGTAAGCGGTTCTTTGCGAATTTCAAATGAACTGACGTCTATGAACTCCGCTGACCTGATCGAAAATTCAATGTACTGGATTTTTCAACATGGAAGTTTGAGTGATGTTAATTCATAGGCATTTGTACTTCTTGACAATATACAATCCTATTGGAACAAAATTCTCATTTCTGTTTGAAAGTTATGAAAACACTCACAATGTAGAGGAATAGAGAATAGGGAATGAAAAATGAGAAATGCAGGTCTGCTATTGGTCAATTCTAACCTTGAACGCGTTTTGAACCAATCATACTGCTATTCCTTATTCCAATTCCCTAGTCTTTTGCATTGTATCTGAATCTGATAATATGTCACCTACCATCGTTCATCTGTCCTGTATGTGAATCATGTGTTTCCGAAGTGTACATTTTAGGGTGTCACCATAAGAGAAATTGCCCTTCGATTGACTATATCAATGAAACACCTCCCAGGAAATTGCTATACACCCAAAATGAAATGAAATCATTGAACATAATTATATTCCTCATCATGAAATATACCAATCAGGCACCACCAATTTCAGAACGAAATCTGTTTATATGAGTGATTAAATCCTATCAAGACCAGTTCAACCGCGGATTGACTGGGTGAACTGATATTTGTAACAGTGTACTAGGGAAGGGTGGGTCACAAGGAGACGTGGGGTACAATGAGACAGATGGAATATTTTCAAATTTCCCGGTGATGGGCGCTCTCATTTATTTCAATATATGATGTAGTTTGTATTCATCACCTGCCGGATTGTTGGAGTTCTCTCTCTCTCTCTTCTCTACAAATATTTGCAAGGAAATCCTCATTTTGAGGTATGTCATCTTTTTACTTTCATTAATTTTGATATGGCAAATATGATGATGAAAAATATCCGTAAAACCATATGATGGTCACATAATACGCTAGGTTTGATTTGATTATATCTATGAATGAGGTTATGTGTAATTCAAGGGATGTGAGAATCAGGGCCGTACTGAATCTCAGTTATCGTTTGGGCCTGATTTGCGGAATCCGCGTTACATCGTATAATAGATTTTCTAAAGCCTTAACTTATTTTTTTTTCTATTACTCCTCTGCATAATAATAATAATAATAATAATAATAATAAAAATAATAATAATAACAATAATAAAGCGGCTTTATTCATCAAATCAATATTTATACATAAAATACAAAGCATTGAATCAAATATGAAGAATAACTGATTGATGAAAAGGCGAAGTGTCAGCTCACAAAAACAAAGAACAAAAAATAAAAAAGAAATACATGAGATTCATAATATTATTGCAGAGTACCTATACTTACTAAAATTAGCTATAAGCTAGAGAATGATTATTCCAATAAAATATTCTCCTCAAATCGAAGATAATGTCTAAGGAAGGAAAGATGAAAGAACTGTATTCATCTGAATTAGACAAAATATGATTCTGTGATCAGGAAACGGATGAAGAGCTACAGCCCTAATAGAACACAACGTCCTAGGAACGTCCCTCTTTGGCACAATTCAAAACCGACTGTCCCGGACCAAAAATAAGTGTCCTTGGGACGTCCTATCCCGTACATCTCATGCAAGAACGTCCACGGAATGTCCCAGCAGATACATCAATGCAAATGTTCTAGCATCCCTTAGACGTCTCACGTGGTACATATTGTGAAATGTTTATGCAAGGACGTCCTTGGCATGTCCCTGATGAGATATGATTTCAAACGTTCCTTTAGGGACATCCGTCGGATGTTCCGAGTATAGTACATATTCTGGAATGACTTCAGATCTTATATAATGTCCCTTATAGACAACCATGAAATGTTCCTGATGGTACATTATTCCTTGAATTATCTCTGCACATACGCCCTCAATATCCTTCTACGGACCATCAACTCGACTGGATGCCCTCATCATTTATGCAAGATCTAGTCCTAGAGGAACCCAAAAACATTCAAATTCAAGAATAATCCGTACGTCCCTGGGACATCCTATGGAAATCCATTTGACAGCCCTCAGCGTTGCTGATAGGTTGTCCTACGGATGTCCAAAGGATGTCCTCCGTAGTGCTTGATGGGGAATATTGTAGGACTTAGGTATTCGATAGTTGTTCCAGGGACATCTCTCAAGAACGTCCGTAGTTGGTACTCAAGTGGGACATTTGTGCGTCCCACAGACGTCCAATGGACGTCCACCGGTACCAAATTCAAACGTCCTATGGAAGTCCTGAATGTCTCGACAAGACGTCCTAAGGATATTCATGAGATATAATTGTGTAATTAGGGAGATGATGAGATTGAGGCATGTCCAGGAGCAGACGTGAGCTAGTTTTCAGAACTCCTGCATTATGAGAATAATATGTGCTGGTGAACTTCTCAGAAAAAAGGATTTATTACTTCGCTAAAGTGATAGAATTTGGTACAAATATATTGGATAGTTATCTGTGGAAGAGTACTGAGGTCTCTAACAGTTTTGTTTTTTCCGCTCATTTTGATGCAGCAGTAGTTGAACTAACTGAATGATACCAACATAATTTTACTAGATCTAGTTCAGATCGGAACCACCAGAAGGTAGCACAGCTTATCAAGTTTCGTATAAATTTTGACTCAATAGGAAACAGATAAATGTGCATTAACCCTTTGAATATATTTATAATTTGAGTTAATCTACGACTATGTTATATGTTCAATAACCATGAACATTCATTGTTTTGAATGCATAGAATCTCGATTTTTCGTGTTGAAAAACGAAATTTTGTCTCACACTGGCCCATCCTCCCTATATGAAAATACATTCATCTCTAAATCGTTTTAATGGCCTAATATCGATTTGGATCAGTGGATACTCCATTGAAGATAGATTTTTTATACAATTAATTTGACATAAGGCTGTGAGAGTATGTTAGAATTTGTTCGAATTGAACCTACGGATTAGTGAAAATGGATTCACTCCTTAGTTATATAGTGATAGTATATATCTGACAATTCATAATCATCTGTTGTTGATTCCGATCCCA